TGGACCCTTAGGGCAAGGGTTTAGGGCTCTCCCTTAGATTCTGCGGAGAAAAGCCCGTACTTCATCACTTTTCCATGTCGTCAGGGCTTCGGCCCTGGATAAGACTGCCACAGTCTACGGCCAGGGTCCCAGAGGCCTTTCTTACCCTGAGATTTGGGGATCAGACGTTTTGAAATTTCACCGCAGAGCTAAGAAAATTGGATGTATGCGACCCCCAGGGTTACGTCGAGGGTGTTGCGGTTTTGTAGTTGGAGGTTCGATGTGTGGCGTCCATGAGTTTTCGGGTCTGAGGCCAGAAGTTGCAGTGATGGACCCGGAAAGGAGCGAAGGCGTAAGGTGGCTTGAGTCGTTGAGGCGTCATGCTATTCCGCGCGCATTTGGTCACCCCCCTCATCTGAGCAATAGTCTAAACTCCTGAGAGCGGCTTAAATAGGGGAGTACTATAGGGCATATTGAGCGGGATACTAGGAGTTTAGACTATGGCTCATCTAAAGTACATGACATGAAGGTCATCTTGATTCTCGTAAATAGACCAGGTTTAACACATTCAATGTCAGCCATCCGCATGGGAATCATGCAGTGGTTGCTTATAGCATTGACGTTCCCTGTAGCATGGGTACTGATACTCAGTTTGTCCTCCAGCTCCATGCTGTTGAACGCTCTAGATCCTACACATCCGGCCCCGACCTCCAACCACAAATACAGACCATGCACCAATTAACATATGAACTATATAGTCTAAACTCCTAATAGGGGGATTATGTAGGGGACTACTATAGGGGATATTAAGGGGGATACTAGGAGTTTAGACAATGGCACATATGATCTAACACTCCTATGTATAGTAGTTCCCATGATATGTTCCATGTTCTCTTCCATTTGATTGTCCATGACTGGGGTAATATCACTAAACTCTGAGCCCTGAACCAAAGGGAACGTGACAACTTGTTGCTTCCCTCTTCCGGAGCGTAGTTGCAGCATCTGGGATCCAAGAATACTAGAGCCAAGTTCTGGAATGTGGGGTTTCCAGAAATTCGGGCACTTTCTCGTGCGGACCTAGAATCGTGATTGTATTTTGGAAGGGTTTCTATATTCGTGCCAAGAATTCCGGGAAACCTCCAGTTCATGTTATGTACTCTGCTTAGTGTCTAGCCTGAGTTACGACACCCAGATCGCAATCCAAATTCTCATGCAACCTTTATCAAACGCTAAACGGTAGCTTTCGGGGATTGTTTTTGACTTGCTGAGGCGCCACCCACATTGCCCTCGTTCAGAAGCAGCTTGCCCTGGCTTTTAGCTGCCTAGCGCTTCATTTTTTGGGTTTAGCACTTAGGGTTCAGGAACTGCCCCTCATGTAAGTTGACATTGTCCATAACTTCATGGTCCATGGATGGTCCATGGATGTTGGCTTTGCTTGCTTACTTCGATACAGCGCAGCGTGCACAGAAAAAACTTAGCCTCATTTCGGTTGTCACAGGATCAGCGCAAGCAGAGAGGAAGTCACGTAATCATGCGTGCTTGCGGCACGGGACCCCCTGTCAAACCAGTCCGGCCGATTTCCGACGACGTGATGCAGAAGCGGCTGCAGTCTTTCCAGGCCATTTTTTGTGCAGTGCCTTGCCAGATGTAGCTCATTCGAAAGGGACTCACCAGGGGATAGAAAGGCCTCAATACCACCACCTCCGCCACCCCAAAAGTCCATGGTTCAGACCGTGCTTAGCCGCTCGCCTCTGCAGCAATGGATGCCGCGGATCGAGCCATGCAGTTATTGGGGTGCTTCAATTTCGCAAGAATTTAGTTTTGTCAATGCCTATTGCCTACAGCGATGATCTGAGAAGCTCATGAACTTCAGGGTTGGCACAGGAAATGCTTCAGCACCAGCGGCCCACTTTCTGTTTTGGTGGCAGCCGTGATATCTTCTTCCTTGAAACAACTGATAAACCCTAAACAAGACAAAGACAGCAGCGAGTTGAATGTTCCAAACATTGGGGTCCCCGCTTCATGCCATACTGCTATTGTTTGTATAGGCACCCCAGGAAAGGGTTCAGGGACCCTAAATCCGAAACCAATTCGCTGAAATCCCCTGGCTTATTTTCTCACAGGACCTATTTGCTGAGGCGCGCCTTTGCTTCTTGGCTGATCGGGGGGCTTTGAGAACAATAGGTTGTTGTTTCAGGATCTCCTAACGATTTGACGATTTGGAAATGAATTATTTGAAAAGAGCATGCAGTGGGGCCCTAAAACTCCGAAACCCTAAACCCCAGACCCTAAACTCTAAGCCCCTAGACCCTAAACCGTAGATGGTATGAAGCAGGTAGTCCTTACTTCCGTGCAACTGGTAAGTTGAAACGTAGCTAAGGCAGAGGTCTACATCATTGGAAGAGGACTTCGGCGCCTCTCAAGGTTTCGGGATTTCGGGGTCTCTATTTTTCCAGTTTCAGGGGACTTGTAAGTAGGTGGTGGGATAACAGGTCCCCTTGTTGGTCTTTACCTACAGGTTGAGTCCCAGGAGATGATACCGGTTTAGGGTTTAAGGGTTTAGGGCGGTGATTAGTCAGACCTCTACTTAACCAAGAGGCAGCTTTTCATAACCAGTATGCCAGCCCATTGCAACGGTAATTCCAAGCCGAGGTAGACTCACCAGCCCAAAGGTGGCTCAAAAAGTGAGGTAGAGGAAGGTGGGGTGCAGGAAATAAGCTCCAAAATAATAGAAGCCCTGCCAATGTCATCATCGCACGTCTGTGCTCTCCTGAGAGAGTGTCTAACGAAAAATTGGCGCATGCCTTCCGACCTACAATTCCAATCGCACAAATGTCAAGTACATGAGCTACGTCAATATCAGGGTTACCAAGAGACCATTACAGGGGCACTTAGGGGTAGCCTTGCTAGTTTAGCATAGTCCCCAATCTCTGCCTTCATGGAACCCATGTCCAGCAATCAACAACAAGAAATGATGGTCCCTCCTTTTTTGCCGAAGGGAAGGCCTGTTTGGCATATCCGTGGTTGTTGTGGGGGCGTTCCGGAATCAGAAGCATTCTTGCTGATCGGTCTTCAGCCTCTAAGTACTGAAGGCTTCTGAAAATCGTTGTGTCCTGTATGCCCCCAGTGCTAGGATCCATATACCAAAAGCCAGCAAATGAAGGACCTGTAGTCATTGTAGTCTGGAGGAGCCTCACTCTTTCTGAAGCTACTGTAAGCCTTAAACTAAAAACCCTAAACCCTAAACCCCTATAACCCATATAGTAATCCCAATTATCCCCATTATTAACCCATTTGCTAAGTCCCCCTGACTTCCAAAGTAGCCCCATCCGAGACTACCACAGCTCAGGCTTAGATGATGCGCGGGAGTTTCTTTGCAGCAGTTTTGGTTACCAGGGCGACCTGTTAGACCTAAAAGGCTCCTTCATCTACCCTTTTTAGGTGTCCTAACAGGCAGTTTAAGGCTCTAACAGCCCAAACTGATATGGGCTGAGGGTTCAGGAGAATTCTTCCCAACATTTTCAATCGAAATGGAAGCGGGCCGTGAAATATTGATTTAGGAAATACGCAGGGCAGCATTGGGTCTAACCTGCTGACTGTTTCACCAGTAGGCTACCCGTTGTCATGTGACATCAAATACCTCGGTATGAACTTGGCTACCTAAACCCTAAACCCTAAACCCTAAAAAACCCAGTTTTGGGGGACTCCTTTGGGATGGCTGGATTCTTGGAGCACAGTGAGGGTTTGGGGTTTAGGGTTTAGGGAGTCTTTCCACTTTTGCTGAATAGTCCTGTGTTCTTCTGTCGTTGTTCAACAGTTTTTTTGTTGAATAGAGGGTCATGTCGGACCAGAATCCAGAAAGAACTTTCAAATTTGTCACCCAGAAAGCCCAACATCCCTGAATTAGGGTATATGTCTTACATGACATTAGGGATCCTAGTATCATTTTGGGGTATATACCCTAGCTATGGGACATTGAGCCCTACCCCTAAACATCCCTAAGCCCGATATTCCCTAGCTAAGGGATATTGGGCTTTATAGACATATTGACCCTGGCTCTCACAGTGAGCATCCTCAATCTTCATATGAGCCGCTGTCAATATTGGGCTTATGAAGGAATCTTGAGCAGTGGACATACGGGTCCTGCTTGTACTTCGGTATAGTCCGTGGTGTAATCCCTAGTCAGGAACCCGTCTTAATGATCTAGTAAAAACTGATTGTAGCTGATAGGTCAGTGCGTGACACGGAGTGCTAACGCGCCATATCCAGCAGCACTACTGCTTCTGCTAGCACCACCCAGGTATGGTGTTTTTTTGGCAACGCCAGTAGCTTTTTCGTCCCCTGAACGGCTACAGTCATGGTCGTGCCTCTGTGGTCTTTGCTCCAACCAGCAGTTTAGGGTTTAAAGGTTCACAGCCCTATGGGAAGCAGAGGCAACTCACCCTTTCAGCAATACAGCCCTGAGCAGAACAGCTCTCGCATTGTGCTTATCTGAGCTACAGTCATTATTTCCTCAGAAAGTTAATTAATGGACATGGGTTCCTTAGTAGGGACGATTAGGGACCATGCTAGAGGGACTACTGTTAAGAGTCCCTCAATAAGGCCAACAGTAACACTAACTCAAGAGCATCCGGCGGAGACGTTTTCTTGCTTTTGGGGGGGAGGGGAGGGAGGCTTCCACCTCATCATCAACTGCTGCAATGATAAGGTCTGAAGGCACCACCTACTTCAAGGCTCGTTTTGCAGTTTTTGCAGCTGCGGGACATGCCGCGTTTGAAGTTTGACCTTGCTTCTTGTGTTCTTTAGCCCTTGTCGAATATGGAGTTGCATTAGCATGTCCTTGCAATGACCTTACATAGTGGACGTCCAAACGCCAATATCATGGTTCTAGATTTCTTGTACGATTCTGGTATAGGGTACCTGAAATAAGCCTTGACATGATATTGGTAGCTATTGACCGAGACCAAGTGAGGATCATGCGGACCCGCAAACAGCATGTGATGCTCGCATAAGCGGGTGAGAATAGCACAAACCATGGCTGTTTGCTTTCTGTACGTGATGGCCGTGGGACGTTTCAACGGAGTTGTGTAGCTAGGTGCTGTGCCCAGTAGATGATCCATGACTGATTCTTAGGTTGGCTCATGCAGGCCGATTTGCGGGATGGCTGGACACATTGCCGGGAGACCGGCCACAGTAGATTCTGCAGAAAGCATAAGCGCAAAATCCTGAACCCTGACTAGCCTCTTCTTCTAAGGAAGCCTTAATATGCATCATCGCATCAATTGCATCAACGTGACCGTATCGGGTATCCTTTGCGAAGATCACGGCGTCAAACCCTAAACCCTTCACTTTTAGAGTTATTAGGGTCTAACGGCTCTACGCCGCATGCTTCAGATCATGACTCTGAAAACTACTTTGACGGGCTAGCAGGACGACATCAAAGAGGCTGAGGAAGCCGTGGAGAATGCCACAAAAGCTTACGAGGCACTTTGGTCCACGGCCTAGGGTTCAGCATCTGGGTGCTGGGCATGGGTAGCCGGATTGCATGGGCCATGGTACCACAAACTACAACAGAGCTTGACAAGATCGTCCGTACATAATCCGCAAGGGGACCTGTAATTACTGTACAGTCCTTTTTGCCAGCGTTCCGCGGGGTTGCCCCAACCCTAAACCCTAAACACAAAGCATTAAACCCCACACCCAAGACCCTAATCGTAGCTTCCATGTTCTTTTCCATTATCCCAGTATAGCCCCTATAGAACCCCAATATAACCCCTATATATTGTAGCAGTTTCCATTATCCCTATATAACCCATACATATGAGAGACACTTTTATGGACTTTGGAGGGAACTCAGGCTGAGGTTTAGGGTTTAGGGTGTTCATAGGCGTGGTGTGTGCTTCAACGCCCCTGGCCGAGAAAAAAAAAAAGGTTCTTGCTGGTGACATCCAGACTGCTTACCTAGAAGCTCCCCAGGGTAGATGCCACCCAACTCCTACAGCATTTTAAGGAGCCCCATGCTTTTGAGAAGCCCCCCTACAACCGGGTTTAGGGTTTAGGGAAGAAATGATGCTTTTGCTTTTTTAGGCGGGCTTATGTGGCTTCGCTCACGATATACTTTTGTGAAAGCTTTTGCTGTAAACTTTAAACAACAGTCAAATGAAGAAGCTGCCGCAGCCCCAGAACAGTCAAATGAAGAAGCTGCCGCAGCCCCAGATAGACCCTCGAAGAACGCTGGGTTCCCTTTTGATGTCTTTCTAAAGGCCGGGGAAGGATTGCAAAGCAAATTTGGACATCTAAGACTTGCCATGGGTCTGAACACTTGTTCAACGAAGGTAATTGCTTTTCTCGGGCACCGTACATGAACTTGAGTTAGCTTACCGTATATGGGTACATGATTGTAGATAACCGGGTTTCCTGGTAAAAGTCACCTGGATTAAGTACCTTCACAGCAGCTTAGTGGGTGAATGCCCCGGAGGGGAAACCCTCCAAGGCAGTCACCATAGCACTCCTACCTTTCAGGGAAGCCCTACAACCTAAACCCAGTGGTGTTGCATAGAGGACCTCCTTTCCGACCTTGACGAGGGCCGTGTCTTTGCTGCATACCTTGCTTGTTTGATCAACATTGTGGCTGGACCTTGGGGCTTTAGGTTTGGGTTTAGGGTTGATTATCGGGCACGTGTGACAGAGAACCTGGGAGCATCTCATGCTACGCGAATTCAGGCGGGAGCGTAGCCTTTTCCGACACAGGCCCTGTGACACTCATAAAACTGGCCGGGGCTTGGAGGTTTCTTGATCGGGCAATTTGCAGAAGACTAGGCATTGCCAGCCGCCCACAATGAAAGATGTTCTCGCAGTAGTGCTTCTGCTCAGTTTGGATCAACAGAAAGCTGTGGAGTGGATGCAGGACATGTCGCACCACCTTTTATACCTCAAACCCAAGGAGTACATACTTTTGGAGGTTCTGAATAGTGCCAGATTTCCTCCATCCACCGTATGTTAGCAGCTAGTGCTAACCAGCATCGTGAGAAGCTGAAGCAAGAGCAAACAAGCAGATGATTCTGGCACGTTGGAGGCTGCCAGGAGATGCCAGCTAGTCCCTTTTCACATGACAACGGCTCAAGGAGAAAGCAATCTACCTACACTTATGTTACTGGTCCTAGCCCTACTCCTATTCCTTCCTGCCCTGCTACGCAACACTAGTAAGCAAATTGCAGCAGAGGTAAGCGCGAGTTCGAAGATGCAAACAGTCTGAAGGTCAAGTCTTTGAAGGAAGAGCACCTTGGTGAACCTTCTTTGAGGGTCCAGCTGCCTAGCTAGGAGTTTCAGGGAGTTTCTCAAAACAGGGGGACGGTAGGGCCCTAAAGGTGGAATTGTAAAGAATAGCACCCCTTCTCCAGGATTGTAGACGGATTACATATCTAGTAACCTCCCACATGCTAGGGCTTTAGGGGCCAAATGGGTCAAAAGCCAAGGTTCGGATATTTGTGCGACTGCCTAAATGTGATGGTTTTGTGTGTGTAGAGAGAGTGAGAGAGGTGCCACAAACTGAGCACCCTGCAGGCTAAAAAAGGCCAAACCCTTGAAGCTAAACCTAAGCATGACTATCGACCTTGCATCCTAGACTGCCCCCATTAACACCCTATATGATGCCAGCGTTCGGGGACGCGAGAGTAATGGTTCAGAGTTTGTAGTTTTGGGGTCAAAGCGTGTAGGATTCCGAACTAGATGGGCGCTCGTCCAAACTCGCGTAAAGTGTAGAGGACTGGGAAACCTGAACTGTGACACCCCAAATGTTACGACCAGTGGGACCGCCCTATAGCAAGAGTCTGACGTATTGTGGGGGGGCATCTAGGAGGACCCTCATGTTGAGCAATACCACGTTGGTGAGTTTGGTATTTCTTTGTTGGATGCATGACTTCCTAGACGATGCGGGGAGGGCTATAGATAGTGGGTGCCGAAATCGTGGTTTCTTGGTGAGAGGGTTAGCGCGCTCCTTCGCACAGCTTGGACCAGCAAATTCTGCATCGACGTGTGAACAGGTTACCTACAAGCTGTGTAGACTCCATTGTACGTCCGTGCGCCCCTTTGTTGGGGTGGCATGCTGGACAGCAAATCGACAGCTACACTCAGCGACACCGCAGACGTTTTAGATATTGTTATTGTGTACAAACACACGAGTTCACGTTAGCTACGTGCATAATTGAGGGTGCCGCCGTTTGCCTTGAATTCTCCGGCATGAACGGCAATGAATTTTGTGATGAAGTGGTTGAGTCACTCAACGATACCTTTGGAGTGTTTCGAGAATCCCTATATGGTAGCTTCCCAAAGCGGAACCCAATATAGACCCTAAAGCACTATAATCTTTATCATAGGGACTCCAGAAAAGGTACCCCTGATGTAAGGAAACTTCCGCATATCGCCCATAAGGATGGTCTCAGAGCCTCTTTTCAATGCCTATATATAATATCCTTGGGATCCAAAAAACGTGTAACCGATTTGGTGATCATGCCCAATTGACGGCGAGACTTTTTCTCCGGCCCCTCTCATGCAGAGTTGCCCTCGATGTTCTTGCAGACCTTGCTTGGGGCCCTAGGCCCTTTGCGTGAGAAACCATGAAGTTGGATCTCTGAGGTACGCTCAGCTGCTTGTAGACGACGACCACTGAAGTGAATGTACCCCTTTGTCTGAGCTGCCCCGATACGCCTGGGAGATTTCAGTTATGGCTGCTAGCCTGCCTATGGGGCTGGCAGAGTCTCAACATTCAGCTTAGGCAGATGTTTTTTGTGATTGTGCCAGGCTGCTTGGCTCACTGTTTAGGGTACTGGTTGTTCCAGAGACCCCAGTATACCAAAACTAGCGACTAGACATGACTAGACCTTATACGATGCAAATATCCCGTATACGTCGTGACTGTCTTTCTTTTTGGAAATATCTGTTACCCTAAGCATCCAAATACCCCAATGTAGATAATGGTTATAGACTTCAGGGTCCGATGCAGGCATTGTTTGTATACTTGGATCCCCGTGGTTCTGGTTATATTTATTCTGGTGATTACGGGGCATTGGGCTCTTGGGTGTGGGGCTGCGCAAGCTGAGCTCTCCCTAAAGCGACTATTTTCAGAGCTCTGCGCGTGCTTTGTCCCAGACACCTTGGGAGGATCTTGAGTAGAACCCCTAACATGGTACCCTATATTGCAGTTGGGTACTTCCTATGAACCTTCAAGGGGGTTCTAGATTCTAGATCCTCCCAGAGGTCTGGGGTGTGTCCAACTTTAGATACTGCCCCCGACCCGGTAACAGTTGGACAACATCTGTGGTACGACTATTTACAGCATATGGAATACGGTGTTAATCGGGGATGTATCGGGCTTAGGACTTTGGTTTTAGAGCCCTCATTATTATCCCCATTACAGACTGTTACTGGGTGAGGACAGGATCCAAGTCCAACTCTTTTAGCTCAGCCGCTGGGCTTCAGAATCCCACTGGCTGTACGGGTCATCCTTGTTATCGTGCAACATGGGAAGCTTCTTCGCAGCACCCCTATATGACTACGGTCCTAACATGATGCCCTAAACCTTAAACCCTAAGCCCATTTCTATCCCAGGGGCTGCAAGGGCGCCTGATATGTACAAACGTTTTTCGACTGCAAGCTACGCTAGTTTCGGGAGACCCGTTTTTTGCCCATGTGAATCGCTTCATCAGTGCGGACGCCACTTGGCAGTGCAACTGAACAAGGGTTTGGGGTTCTACCTAGGATTGATAGGAGAGACCCCTAATCCCCCTCCATCATTACTTGGAGCCTCATGTGATTTAACGATTAAATACATATAACTGGGGATCCAAGATGGTCTAAAACCCTGAGCGCCTAAGTGTCTTACGGCGTTTGGTGGGGCTGTGAGGTAGAGGATGTGCCTACTACCATGCCCAAAGGGCCCATGTCGGTATATACCATATACCCGCGCCCTAAAGTAGAACCTGTTTGAGCCCGAAGTATATACAATACACCTACATGGACCCTTTGAGGTGGTGGGATGAGATAAATGATGTTGGTGCGATGCGTGTCCCGACGCCCCCTAAACCCTGAACCCAGTAGGTCTTTCTGAGGTGGCCTCTTTATCTATGCGTGCACTGGCAAGTTGCGATGAGCTATAGTCTCAACTCCTTGAAGAGCATTATATACGGGATCATATGGGGCTTAGGGTTCAGAGTCTGAACTCCTAAAAGCGGGCTATATAGGGGACTACTATAGGGGTCATGAAGGGGCATACTAGGAGTTTGGACTATAGCTCAAGTTGCGATGCTGCTTTCGAGATTTTGCTTGCTCTGGTTGACAAGGAAAGTTTTCTCGCATTCAGGCCGAAAATGGCAGCCGAAATCGGGATTCAGAAAATACGTGCCCCCTTTCGGATTTCAGCTACTCCGCCACCCAACAACCTAGTCCCTGACATTGAGCTCCTGTGGTGCAGTATTTTGATGTAGCCATCACAATCCAGAACCCCTATTGTTTTTTTTCTGATCATGTGTTCTGCTCCCCTCACACCTAGACCCTAAACTCCAACATCTAAACCGCGTTCCCAGCGCTTTGGGGTATGCGCAGGTCAAAGGCCTGCGTAGGAACTCTATTGACTTTGGATGGAAGAAATTCTGCACAACCATAAAAGAAGGTTATAGCAGTTTCCATGTTCTTTTCCATTCCTTCTACACCCTAAACCCTAAACCTATATAACCTTTTATAGGAGTTTCCATGTTCTGTTCCATTCCTCGGATCTGCAAGTCCATTTCTTGCCCAGAATATGGATACATCAATGCCAGGCCTTGGGAGGATTTGGCACCTTGAGGTTTAGCAATGCGTGTCAGCTGCTTTCATGCAGAACCATGTGGAACATTGGGATTGTGTGTGTGTGTGTGTGTGTGCGTGTTTTGTCTTTCTCTCGCTTGTTGGGTTTGATGACACCTGACACTGGCAACCAGCGCCCCTGAGAGTTGCAGGTTGTTCTGCTGGTTATGCTTGCTTGGCAGTGTTGCTGATGACGTTAAAAGTCTTGCAATGACTCCAAGAGAGATACTGTAGCACCATATTTCCCAAGGTTGAAGGTGGTCCATAGTTAGGTCATGCAGGATTTCGGCAACAACCTGCAACCCGTAATCCCTGACTCCCATAGTTTGGGTACTGCCCCCACTCATTACCAGTTGGAGAATGTTTACAGTATAACTGAGCCCGTCTTATGACCCTTATACGAGGCTGTTCATGGGTTGGGGCAGGACCCAACCAATAGTATCAACCGTATGGATTGTCGCATTTGCTGAGGTTTTCAGCCATTGGTATCACATCGACGATGAGGGAGAGGCATGGACCTGATACATTTCCAAATTTTAAAGGGGTTATAGGGGATATACAGGGTCTGGGGTTTGGGGGTTTCACATAATTAGGGATACCTTGGTTGGGGTAGAGAGACTACCATATGCTTTTGTTAAAGAATTGGTTTCTCAGAATCAGGGCCTACTAGGGACTGCAGGGATGTGCAGGGATTACAAGAGGATTGTGGGGGTCCTTAGTAGACAGTATATATAGATATACATATATATATATATGTAGAGAGGGAGAGAGAGAGAGAGAGAGAGAGGCGAAAGAAAGAAAGAAAGAGAGAGAGAGAGAGAGAGGGAGATTGTTTCCAGTAACCCTCATACACCGTTTTACACACCCTTTTAGCCGCAATCTCTGCGCAGCCGCCGCCTCGAAGGGACTTCAACCTTGACTTAGTCTACGACCTCCCATACACCCTGCATGATACTGAACCAGAGCGCCTGATATGAGCTATAGTCTAAACTCCTTGAAGGGGGGTTATATAGGGGACTATATAGGGGACTACTATAGGGGTTATTAAGGGGGATACTAGGAGTTTAGACAGTAGCTCATATGATTCCTGAATTACGGGTTTAGTGCGGTGACAGATTGCCTCAAAAGCTGTGCCTATGTCATGCTTATAGGAAGCTCTGCAATGCCTGACATGTTCTCTTGGGCAACCTTCTTTTGCGCCCGCCCGCCCCGCACATCTCGACCCCAGAGGATCCAGTGTACCATAATTAAGGCGGATATCCTACGTGATATCGAGACCCCTAACATGATTAGAACGATGGTCTTTCATCAGAGTGTCGAGCTCCCTGGGTCAAAGGGCCATGTCGAACTTGCGCGACTCGCAAGCGGATGCGCTTTTCGCTTTCCCAACTTAGCCGCGGCCTGGAAATGCTTCAGATTTGCCCTGTGATTCCAACTAAAGAGCCCAAATATAAGTACCCAGGGAGCCCAGTAACCCTGAATTGCAGACTGTACCTTAAACAATTTCAGGGATGGCGACTATCATCCAAGATAGGTTCCTGAATTGGGGTATATGCTGGGCCCCTTGCAGTTCATCCCACTCCCCTCGAGCTTGACCCGAAACACTGCACTGGCCCTACACACTAATCCCCTAAACTCTACACCCTCTAGGTACCCCAGTATTACCCTCTTCCCCTTTTTATTTTGCAGTCTCCCTATTAAAACTGAACACTAGGAAAAGGGGTACCCTTATCATTATGGGATTACTGGGAACCTAGCTCTAAACCCAACCCCTGCTTGCGAGATTGCAAGGCAGACGAGAGGGCTATGGAAGATGTCGATCCTGACGCAGGCACTCCCGGAGTCCCGAAAAGGTCCAATTACTCCTATATGAGCTATAGTCTAAACTCCTTAAAGGGGGTTATAGAGGGGCATATATAGGGGACTACTATAGGGGCTTATTAAGGGGTATACTACATAGGAGTTTAGACTACAGCTCATTTGGGGGTTATCCAAAATTAGGGGTACTTTGCTGGTGGAGACCTATGGGGGTCAGGGTTGCAAAGGCCCGTTCGACGCTTTCTTCATAAATAGAGGGGACCCAACGTAGAACCCAACATACTATGGTCCTTATTATGGCCATATTATGGTCCTTATCATGGCTACTCCACAACAATGGAAACCCTTGGAAGACCCCACATGGGACTTTAGGTGGACCCTGAAGGTTCACTGTTTTGGGTCAAGGGCTCAGCGCTTGGGGTGACATTTTTCTATCAACCTACTGCACAAATGAAGGCGACTGTTCGCTGAGATGCGGAAGCCCGAAGTTGAGATTACCTTAAGGCTCAAAATAGCCCAAACGGCTTTCGTTGTATGGTCTATGGGCTACAAACCTCAAAATATGAGTGTTTAGAGCCCTAGGGCTGCGAGTTTGCTTGGAAGACACACACACACACACACACACACACACACCCCCACCCCCACCCACCCAC